CAGAGAGAGAGAGAGAGAGCGACAACGAAAGCTCAGCAAATGAGTCGCAGCCGCAGCCGGAACTCCAGACATCACTTGAAGGTAAAAGCATTTTACGAACTCTGTAATTTTTATGATTCGTTTTTTTTTTTTGCATTGCGAATGAAATTAAAAACACAATCGAGATCAAAGCTCTGCTGCTGTTGTGCCACTGTGCAGTTACTGGAAGAGCCATGAGATGGGAGGGGGGGGTAGAGCAACAATTATGCTCGGGAAATCGGTTCAAGTTGTCATCATCTTTTCTTTTTTTTTTGGCATCACTTTGGACCGGACCGCCTTGAGGTTCTTGGAAATAGAAATTTCCGCTGACCTTTGCTCGTTTTGGCATTGCCACCGCTAAGGGGAGTCGTGTTCCAAATCTCCAGCTAATGGACAAATAATTACAGCCACAACCATCTAACGTTCTGCGATGCCGCTACCGTTGCACAATTGTCTGTTGACCGGGGTCGTGGGTCGCTCTCAAGAGCAACCTCCCCAGTCCAGTGGGTTGGCTTGAGGCAATTGTTTCTCTTTTCCATATTTAATTGCTGCCATCTGAAGATCTTTAAAGCTCTCTAGCTTTGTATGTCTGGTGCTCACGATTCGCAATACCGTTAGATGGTGGGAAATACATACACGAAGGAGTGTGTGTGTGTGTGTGTAACCCCCCCACTGTGCGTTTCAGAACTATATGTAGAACACCATTAACCGATCTCCAACTTAATTGCAGCGCTCAATTGGGCTCTAAGGGAGGCTAGGCTGTAATTTCACAGGAAAATATCTCTCCCAAAAATTTAGAAATAAAACAAACACCAGAATTTAAAGAATTTCCCATGTAAAGTTTAAGGAATCATTCGTATCATTCCATAAGAAACTTCTCTCCATTTCAAGATTTTTTAAATGCCCAGATATGTGATATCATTTTCTTGAATTTCTGTTTGTAATTCCAGTAAGATAATCATTAGAGGGGGTACTTAGTGGCCACAAGAAGTATTTGCTAATTCTAATTCGTGAGGTCTCATTCTTGGCTAATTACTCGGTTCTCCATCGCTGACTCTGGCCCATCAGTCAGCGGGCAAAGGAAGCGTAATGAACTCGGAATACATACAGTATGCAGTAGTCGTAGTACCCTTGATACGCCTTCTGGCTCTACTAATTCGAGCGTAATCTGGAAACGCTTTGTGTCTGTGTGTGGTGTACCTCCCTCCAACAGCTGTTCTTCTGCCTGAGCCACCTGAGTCAGCCAGTCATTAAGTGGTCCAGTGCGTGCAGACACTGGAGTGGAGCGGAGTGGAGTGTCAATGAACGCTGGCTGGAGCCCCATGGGCCATGGGGCCATCCGCTTGGGGCCAGGGGTCGCCTGAGCACCTGTTCTCGTTTTGAATATGAGAGAGCCCCGAAGGCTGCACCACCACCGAAACAGCTGTGACAGCTGGCGCGGCAGGTTATTGGCCAGATGATTAGCCGTCAAATGCTTAATGGATGGCTTGGAACATGGAATATATTTAACTAGAGAGCAGCCATATCTAACATTTGGAACAGAGCAAATCTCTGGCAAAAATTGATTGCCTCGTAAAACAGCAGCAGGGAAAATTATGCTGGAGAGAGAGAAGAGAGATCCATAAAAGTCCGGCAAAAACATACATACAAAATTGGAACAGGAAATTAAAACGTTAGCTGAAGCCAGCTGAAGCAGAAACAGAAACAGAAAACGGTAACGGAGACTCCCGATGACTGCTGACTGCAGACTGGAGACTGGGGCCACATGATAAGGCCCAAAGTCGAACATGTGGAGCAAAAAACCCAACGAGGCAGAGTGGATGGACACAAAAAACAAAAAAAGGGCAACGCAACAGCTGAAGCTGAAGGAAAGCGGCAGCGCCAGCGCCAGCCAAGATTAACAACAATGTTGGACATGGAGGGCGTAAAAAAAGTGCAAGTAACATGTGCTACACCATACTGAGCACAACTGTACCCCACCTATAACCCATTTGTAGCAAGTGGCATGTGGCAAGTGGGCCACAGGGTGGATGGAGGAGTCAGTTGGTCAGGCCAACTTAATTTGCTTAGCGAATCGAAAGAAAATTCCAATAAAAGCTTTCTTGTAATCGAAATATCGATTAAATTATCACACAGTTTGTTTTACAGTTCAAGTTTCCAGTTTACTCGTTTCAGTGTGACCAAAGGCTGTTATGATGAATGCTGGCCAATGATTGGGCACATCTCTTAGCTAACTCTTTTGCTGGACTTTCGATATGCCAATTGTGTTAGCTGCAAATACTAACTTGTTAACGAGGCCGATTGAGAAGAGCTCTTTGTGCTGTGGCCAAGAGAGAGAGAGAGAGCAATTAGCAATCCCAAAAGTACAGTTGGCAAGAAACGTTTCCCATTCCAAGACAATATTACTTCATTTATGCATGAAGAAGATATCTCAGATCTGTGAGGGATTTATTTTTTGTGTGTTAATTTTGTATTTGTTTACAAAACCAAAGCAAATCCGGACAATACAAAACTTTTCAACATTATTATGCAAATTTGTTCAGTCTCCTCCTCAACGTGTTGCTGGGTTGTTGGTTTTGGGTTTGGTAGCTTTTTGGTAGCTTCTTAGTGTGCCATTGACACTCGTTGGGGTTTTGTGTATGTGCCTGACAGGTTTATCATCACCATCATCATCGTCATTTTATAATGCGCGCTGCTAGGGCGACTCTTCCTTCTGCTGCCGCTACTCGCATAACAAATGACTCTTGTTGTGTGGTTGATTCGTTCCTCTTCTTCGACTTCTTCTACTGCAGCCTCGAAAGACGTACTGTTAGTCATTGTTTCGAGTGGCACAAGCAACCCCACACCCCCACTCTGTGGCTGTGGCTGTGAGTGTGTGTTTCCTTGCATGCACAAAGGCGACCCCCAAACAACAGAACAAGTTGTGTTACTCACACCCAGCCACAGCCACAGCCACAGGCAGGCAGCACACAGTCAGCAGAACTTGGAGACGTGCCTCTGTGCCTCTCTGTGTTTCACCGCTTTTCATGGCAGGTACTCGTCACTGCGAGGGTGCAAGGGGTGCAAGGGTATACGGGCGTACTGCTCTAGGGATTATCATACCCAGCAATCTTCAAGTTATGGCATATAGCTATTTATCTATCGATTTATTGTTATACTCGTAATAGGCAAAAACAAAACAAGTTCTTGTGGAAAGTTTTGTCAGCTGTCCTGGCAAACAAAGGGTATCCCCATAGTCGTCATATGTCTACAGGCCATGTTCTTTAGTTGCTATTCCCTCTATCTTTGTCGCTCCCTCTCCTCGCCTGCTTTGCCTTCAGCCTTCAGCTTCGTCTAGTATTTATGCATGTTCATGCAAGTCAATATTTGGTTTCCTAACTAATTATCAGTTCAGCGCACTCTGTGACTCAGGCAGAGTGGGGTGGGAGGGGGACAGAGTGATAGAGACAGAGGCAGAGGCAGATGAGTGTCAACGCTTTTGCGGTCGCCTCACCTCACCTCGGCTACTAATTCGAGAGAGTTCATTTAACTCTGGTGCTCTGGTCCCACACAAAAGCCAAATCATATATAAATATAGCTCGGCTGCTGCTGGAATGATGATGGATTTCGGTTAAATTTGGACCACAAGCAAATAAGGAAGTTCTCCTGCTCTTCCTCCTACTGCTACTCCACCGACAGCGACAGTGACAGTGCCTGCTAACAGTATGCCAACAGTGTGCTGTTATCGCAGAGGTGTGACCTCCAAAACGCATTTGGTTTGTAAACCTTTGGGCCTAGGCCTACTATGCATAAATTTATTCACTTGACTTGGGTTGCCTTTGTTTTTCAGTTTCTGTTTCTGTTTCTTCTATAGTATTTTCTGTTTCTGTTTCGACTTGTGTGATATTTTAATTGCCGCACGAACCTTGAATTCGCTCGCACAGAGTGCTTTTGGTGGTCAAAACCTACCAAAAGTCCACACAAAAGCCCCGCTTGAGAAATGTTCGGTTCGTAATTAAAGCCATAAAAAGTGAGTAAATACCTACATTTATCTGGCTTGTGCCCTGCTCTACTCTACTCTGCTCTCCTCTGCTCTGCTCTGTATTTTTGTGGGTTCTTTTATTTTCAGTATTTCGTTTCCTTTGTGCGACCTTTGACTGCGACTGTGGATTTTGTTTAAAGTATTTTCCATAATGCAGACACATTATTATTATTATTAGACTTTGTGCAAATCTCTGGCCAATCTCCGCTACGACCTTAGAAAGTTGATCTCACTGTCGTATAGTAGTGACTGGAATGGTATTATAATTGGGCTAATGTGTTGTCTTTTTCTCAAAGAGCATTCTTGACTGGAAGCAGTTGGTTGTTGGCCAATCGAAATAATGCTAAATAGTTCTTTAAAGGAGTAACCATTCTCCTGTATGTGGCGTTAATTTTCTAGATATTTCAATAGACAACTTCTGTTCTATTTTCCCTGTTGCGGTACAGTACGTTGTAATTGTTTAGTTTTCGTCGCCTATTTAACAGATACCAAGGCCCAGCTAGACCCACAAACAAGCTCTTTGTTGGCATAACCGAAACCCACAAGTAAATGCCCATCTAATCAGTCTGCTAACAGAGTTGGCAAGTGTAAATACATTAGCTATGATGATAAAAGAGAACCCCTAATCTTGAAAGTAAATTGGTATACCCCACAATCCGATCTCAAAATTATTCTCTGTAGAAGAATTCTTTTAAAGCTGAGACTGAGAATAGGTTTACTTTTGACTTAACAGTTAACTTCATTGGTTCACTTTTGGAACGTTGTTCGATGGCAGAGGTAACAGAACTTCTTGCATCAGGAAAGGAATAGCAGTTGAGGGATGAGTCAGTACTAAAAAGATGATTAATATTCCCCTTTTTATCAATCATTCCCCCTGCTGGACTGGAGGACTCATCATTCTGTTGTATTGCACTTATTATATATTCTTATTGGGGGGTTTTTTTTATATCTTTTAACTTACGCAACGAGGCCGCCGAGAAAGGCCACTGGACCGCCGCCTATTAGGCGAATCTTGCGATGACAGGAATCGAAGAGCGAGGTTCGGGTGGGCGCCTGCGATGTGGGTGACATGATCGATGTGGGGCCACTGCTGCTGCTGTTGCTGTTTCCTACCCTGTTAATGAGCAGCTGTTGCTGTTGCGTTGTTGCTTTCCACGACGCTGTTGTTTGCTGTTCGTTGGTTTTGCAATTATAATTACTTAGGTAGTTGTTGTTGTTGCCACTTGTGTCCCGATAAGGCGTGTTGTTATGATGGTTAATGCAACTGTTTGAGAGACTGCTGCCACTGCTGATGCTGCGACAACTGTCGTCGTCGTCTGTTGAGGTCTGCTGCTGCTGCTGCTGCTGCTGCGGCTGCGGCTGTTGCTGTTGTTGTTGCCACTGGTGATGTGGCTGTGGCGACTATTAATGTTGTCGCTGTCTTTGGCTTCTTGTGGCGCCTCAGGGCTGCTGCTAGATTGTAGCTGCAGGACTCCTTCTTCTTCTTGGTTTTCAGCGGCAATGTCGCCTCTCCGCCCGCAATTGTCGCCGCCAGCAACAATAGACACTTGTCGCTCGAATGTGGCGAAGGCGGCGCCTGTTGCTGTTGCTGCTGCTGAAAATAATATTCTGCTGCTGCTTCAGCTTCTGCCTCAGCCTCTCCGTGTGGCGATGTCAACTGCCGTTGAAGCTTTTGCTGCTGCTGCCGAAGCTTTTGCAACAAAGATGTCTTACTGCGATGCTGCTGCTGTTGCTTTCCACTGGCTGCTGCTGCTGCTGCTGCTGTGGCAGCTGCTGTTGCTGTCGTTGTTGGTGTTTTCGTTCCGAAGCCGAGTTCCACGATGTGCTGTGTGGGCGCTCTCAACATTATTCACTGTCACTTTTCTACGTTACTGATTTTCTGTTTCACTTTTGTCTCTTCTCTTCTGCTTTTCTCTTCGCTTCTCTTCACTTCGTTTTGTCACTGTTGTTGTTGTTGTTGTTGCGATTAACTTACTTTTGCACACATTTAAATTTTATTCAATTTGTTTTTTCTTTTATTTCTTTTTGAAGCTCTAAACTTTCTTCTAAACAAAAATAAAACATGGGATTTAAGCATTTAGCGAACTTTCAACTTTGTTTCGCGGATTCCCTTTTGCGTCTTTTTTTTTTCGTTGTTTTTCCATTCAAAACTTCTCGAGCCGCGAGCATGTGTGTGTGTGTCATTCATTGGCTTCAAAATTGTGCCCCCATGTGAGCGCCAAACGCAAGCAAAAAAAAAAACCCCCCAAGAATAGCACAGTGGGACGGCGTACGATAAAACCAAAAGAATATGACTGAACACATTAAAGTGTTGCAAAAGTTTCCTATATTTGAGTGGCATTGAAACAACAACATCCGTAAACATAATACAAACTAATGGAATTTAATGCAGATATCGATATATCAATAGTTTTATCTTTAAGAGAAATTTCTCATCACTTCAGACATTTTTTTTGGGGAACCAAGAAATTAGAGAAAATCTTGAAAATTTCCAGCACAACTGTGGAATATCGAAATATCGAAATCTCTGGGCTATAAATAAGATATTGGCGCTATTAAAAGAATCCCCACAAGTTTGACGAAAGCGCGCTAATCCACAAAGTAATCCCCCGCCTGCCCACACCACCCAATCCGCATGTTCTGGACAAGTTTTGTAATAAATTCAGTTCGTAATCATTTGCTGGTGAATGGTGAATCTCCCAATCCCATGCCTAATCTCCCCCGTATAAGCACACTCGTAAATGTGAACCACAGTGCAGTAGGTGATGTGCCTCGGAACACACCATACCATGTGCTTGCCTGCTCTTACATACACATACTCGTATTTATTATTTAGTTTTCATATATTTTGCATACGAATGTGCTCGATATATACGTACATACACATCGCTCATGTGTGTTTCTATGTGTATATTTTTTCTGCTTTATATTTGTCGTTAGAAAACGACGGATCGCGTGAGTTTTTCGACATACAAAATGCAAAAACAAAATCCAAAGAGCTGCTATAGAGAGAGGAAGAGGGGGAGCGAGAGAAGATGCCCATTTGGCAATATGAGTGAGTGGGCGCGTGCGATGGGGTTGGGGCCTCCAAATCTGCTTATATGTTAATTAGATTTACTACAGAAATACAGAGAAATTAATTATAAGTTTATTCCTTTACAGCGATTTTTTGTTTTCTGCTAATTCCGCCACTGAAGCGCGTTACGTTACGTTAATTCATGCAAATACTCATACGTTAAGGCCAAGTTTAAAGCATTAATTGTAAAGGCAGGCAGGGGAGGCAGGGCAGGGCAGGGCAGGCAGGCACCACGCCAGCACATAAGAAATGGTATGATAATGTGCTCTGCTCTGCTGTGCTGTGCTGTTCCTTTTCTTGCTTCAAAGAAGAAAAAGAAAGTAAAAGGCGGCGTCATCCAAACGCTTACGCAACCTCCAGCCCAGGCGCAGAAAAAAAAACAGCGAAACGACACGACAAAACAAAATTAAAACACATCATTAAAGAAGGGCAAGAAGAAGGCAGGCAGGGAGGCAGGCAGGCAGGGAGGCAGGCAGGGTCCAAGAAATGGGCAGGTCTCCACACAGAAGAGCAGGCAACCGAGTGAACGAGAGGAGGAGCAGGAGAGGCAGAGGAGAGGAGAGGAGGACACACTCTGTTGGCATTATGAGTATATTGAGTGCAGCAGGAGCCGCCAATCAGTTGGGATGGGGACACCCGGATAACCTTCACCCAAATACCCGCTGCTCCGCCACCGCACAGCACACACCAGAGTGTGGCACGAGTACGAATATGAATACGATTACGATTACGAGCCATGTAATGGATTGGTGGTCCATCCGTTTAAAAGTGAAGGGAGCGAGAGCAAGCCCTGGCCGGACCTGGCCTAGAAATAGCTCAAATAAATATATACATAGGTAAACATACTCGCATCATAGTAAATGCAATCAGAAACGAAAGCAAAGATAGATGGAAGATGCATGCAGCTAAGGAATAATCGGAGGTGAAACATTCCACTCCAAATCAGCTTTAAATAGCCATAGATTCATGCTTAAACATTCTTGAAGCAAATTCTAGCAAATGCCTGAGAACTGAGAACGATAAAAGCCACGCCGGAAGCTTCTGGTTAATGTCCAGCGTCAGTAAGCCACTGCGTAAGCTGCAGAGATTACAATATCACTCGGAAAAAATATGACACATGGGTTTCGTTTCATTTTTCTTTTTTTTTTTTTTTTTTTTTTTTTTTTTTTGCATATACAACAGAATTTCCCGGCACATGCCATATACGAGAATAAGCTTATCTGCCCGCTCTCGCATGGAGCATCGGACAACGTGCCTGATGTGATTCAATGATTCAGTGGCAGTGGCAGTGGCAGTCTCTCTGGGGCACACCACAAGCCAGGCTGAAAGTTATCTCTGGCAGCAGCAGCAGCAGCAGCAGTACGGAAAAGTAAAAGAAAAAGGTGTGAAAAATAGAATGGCCTCAGTTTTGACATTTTGTTACTTTCACAACTGACGGGGCCGGCCCCCCCGTACCATAGATTGAATTGTATGTCTGTGTTGGGGTTGGGGGGTGCTGAAAAAAATTGAAAGTGTGCTGTGGCCAGATCATAAAACACTTCTAGCTCGGGCCTGTATTGGCCTGTAGAAAGGGGGGATAAACTTTCTACCCAAGCGACTCCTAATTCGCGAATTACATGCCATGCAACATCCACAAATGATCTGCCAGTCACGTCGCATCGTTAGAATTAAGTCACTCCGGCAACCATGAAAGTTTCCACAGAATCAACGAACAAAAAAAGAGTCAAAATCATCAAGTGAAGCTCTCTGATCCATGATGATGATGATGACACTGCTGCGATGATTTTGGGTAGGAAAAAGTCATAGTTTCCATGCTAGAAATGGCAGAAATGGGACGGGCGGTGTACGCCACACGCTTCGAGAATTTTTAAAATGAAAGTTCGTGCCTCTTCCACGGTTGACAAAGCATGCGGAAATCTTGAGAAATATAAATCGCTTAAGAGCAAAAAAAATAAAAGCAAAGAAGCATCCCCCCGCTGCCCCTGCACCAGAGACCAAGTCTGTGTAAAAGTCTAGCCAAGAAAAAAAAAAAAAAAAAAATAATTATATTTATTTTAATGTATTTTCTTTTTTTTTTTTTCTTTTCTTTTGACTCTGGCTGCTGCTGCTGCTGCTGCTGGCTGACTGGCTGGCTGACTGACTGCCTTTTCCTATGTTTTCCGTGCACAGCAGCTGTCGTTTTCCAGCCCGGCATTACTGTGAATTTTCAATTAAGCCAAGCTGCCACACTGCCTGGCCAACAGTTCTCTCCACTCCGTTCCTTTTCAATGTGGCTGCGGAAAAAATGATGAAAGCTTTCTCTATGCCTGCGCAATCCCCCCCAACCGCCCCCTTCCCGCTCAGTGTACCCTATCCCAGCTGCTATCCCCCTTTCGACGCTTGGACGCTTCTCCTCGGTGGGCACAAGAAAGGGAAGAGCCAGAAGTGTCATGGAGTGGCAAGGTTATGCGTTGTGCATAAGCAATTAGCTTTGCGGTTTCCACAAGTCGGAGCCCGCTTTGGGGTCACACACACACACACACACACCACACGAGAGAGTACACGAGAGAGTCCCTTCCAGGCAGTGTGTAGAAATGGAAATTGATTTGGCGCAACTCTGCTCAGTTCTTCGATCATTACACAAAATGATCATCCATCCAGTATTGAGCTGTGGTAAATCCACAACTGAAACTTATTTCCACATAAAATCGGTTCTCGAATGCTCCAGTTTGAGTGGGTAAACCAAAGCTGAAGCTAATGGGAAATAATGTCTGTACATGTCAAATTATCACATTTGAAGGTGACCGAACATAGCGGCGATTAAATCTTTCAATAATTCCCAGCGCCTTGGATATTAAATCCAGTCTGCACAGATCACATATTACATATGTACTTGTACATATATATATGTATATTACAGCAGATCAGTCAATTAGCCAAGCCCCCGTTTCCAAGGGCTTGACCCCAGCACACCAGATGATAGATCGGCCAGGCGGGCCTATAAAAATGTGCTTGAAAACGTTCGAAGCGGTGTGTTGTGTTCAGTTCAGTTCGGCGTTCAGCGTTCAGCGATTGCAGCAATTTTCACACTCCGAAGGCCGCAAACAATTGACTGGATGGAACCGAGTACTACATATGCAAATGGGAGTGCAGAAGAAGAGAAAAAAAAAAACGGAAAGCCAATCCATGGATCGATCTGTGGGGATCTCTACGTGCTATGTTCGCTACGTTTCAATCCGGCTATGTGGCAGTGTGGCTGTGTGGCTGTCATTTAAACCAAAGCGAAACCTGAGCGATTGCAGAGCCCGCGATGTTCTCACGGCGAGTTACACAAAACGCCGCACATCACGTTTCCAGCATTAATGGGAATGTCTGTCCGTCCGTCCGTCTGTCTGTCTGGCTATTGCTCCACTCCAATCCAATCTACACTGTACTCCAACCTTCTCCTCCACCTCCTCTTTATATTCCACAGTGTACTCCTCTCTCTCTCTCTCTCTAGTCTACTCTACGGTGTACTCCAATCCATTCCCTCGGCTCCATTCACGACGGCGCTCAGCTCTCAGCTCAGCTCTCAGGCCTCGCAATAAACTTGTGTAGAGCCCAAAACGTGAGAGAAATAAGAAAGGAAAAATAAATGAAATGAAATAAAATAAAATAAAAGTAAAGAAGAGACTCGGCAGAAATTACCAAAAAGAGAAGAAAAAACACACAATAAAAATAAATACTCGTAGACCCAATTAAATCGTGTAAAAGAAAAAAACCTACATACACAATCCAAAAGCGTGGACTATGGCTACTGGTATATATAATATACCCTGTGTGTATGTGTTTGTAAGTCGCGCTAATTAAGCAAATTAGTAAAAAACAAAACAAAACAAAACAAAAAACAATAATGGGCC